ATAGTCGTCAACTCTTTGAAACCTCTCCCCGAAACCCCGGAGAGAGCACACCTCGTGGACAAGATGCGCCAGCTCGAATCCGAATTGAAAGAATTTACCGCCACGCTTCCGAAAGATAAGCGGCCTCTCTATTACGACTTAGGTGAGGACATCAGGCTTTCTCCCTTATTCTGAGCGCTGACTTGCACTTAGGCTACGCGTTGGACAATCCGATCCAACATCTCGATGTGATGGCCCAGATCATGATTCTACTCGGACTTACATGCAACGTCATCCTCGGTCTCGCTATCGGCGACACCAACTTCATATTCGGCACTATTACGCTCTTGATCAAATTGGCCATGTCGGTGCACACGAAGCCGAAAGCAGATGGCAGCTACTCCTACGATGCTTTGCAGGAGGAGATACTCAAGGACCTACCTTCTAGTCTGTATACCGCAATGCAGCGCCTAAATCTGGATGGCAAAACAACTTTATATGCAGCCTGTCCATCGTGCGACCACATCCATGCCCCCGCTCTTTCCCCATCTAAGAAACCAACATGGCCCGAGGAATGTGAAAACGAGATCGTCGGAGACGATGGTGGATCGAAATGCGCGACGGCCTTGTTGGTTGACAGTAAAAGTCACCGGCGTCCCATCAAACCCTTCCTTTCTCATTCGTTCCTCGACTATCTTGCCCGCCTGCTCTCCACTCCAGAAATTGAGAAACAGATGGACGAAACTTGCGACGAGGCGCTGTCCTGGAAGAAGCAGGGTGGCGCGGAGATGGTGGATGATGTGTTTCATGGCATATTCATACAGGAGTTCAAGGGACCTGACGGCAATCTCTTCATTGATCGAGGGAAAAATAAGAGAATGAGGCTCCTCTTCGGCTTCAGCTTGGACTTCTTCCCGCCTCATGGCAGTAGGAAGCGTTCAAGCTCTGCTTCCATTGGCGTGCTCTACGCCTATTGTCTCAATTTACCACTTCTAATCCGCCACAAGCCTGATAATACATGGCTTTCAATCATCACCGGCCCCAAGGGACCCCACCAAGAGCACCTGAACCCGTACCTTCGACCTATGGTCGATGTTGGTGTTGTTGGGTGGGAACGTGGCATCCACCTCTCCAAAACTGGGGCCAGTCCGGAATCTGGGCGGATCGTGGATCTCGGCTTCGTCCTCTCCGTCAATGATCTGCCCGCAGCCCGCGACGTCACAGGCTCGACTCAGCATAACTCGCACATTTTGTGCACCATTTGCGAGTGTCGTGGACGCAAACACGCGTACAGGATTGACTGCGAGAACTGGAAGCTCAGAGACGTGGATCATATGCGTGCACAAGCTGAAGCTTGGAGGGATGCCGAAACCAATGCTGAGCGCGCAAAGATCTACGGAGAAGATGGGCTGCGCTGGTCTGAGCCGTGGAGGCTTCCGTACTGGAACCCGCCCCGCAGCGTTACCGGTGAACCCATGCACATCGTTTTCGAAGGACTAATGTCATTCCATTGTCGTCACATCATTCGGCTCAATTCTCTCGACGCAGCAAAGCCTGAAGAGCTTCCGCCTGCTTTCAGCTTCGATTTTCTCGAGTTCAATCCAGAGACCACGACAGCTCCGCCCAAATGTAGACCCCACATGCCCGAAGGAAGAAAAACAGATCATGGCTGTTCACCATCTTCTTGTCCGTTCGTTTACCGAACCAGAGAACGACAACGATGACAGCGACGACGGCAGCGACGACGCTGACACTGATGGCCACAGCGACAGCGGCAGCGGCAGCAAACAAGAAGAATTCACCGTAGAACTGTTACATAAGAGATTGATGCAGAAAAATAAACCTGCTCTTCTATTCGTCTGTTGGTCCCTCCGCCTGCGCGGAACAAACTGGAGTCAGCTTTCGCTCGGAGACTGCCTAGTGAGACTGACGAAGGACGATCTGGCGCAGCTGCTAGTGACCTGGGTAAGTCGGGTTTGTGAAACCGAGCCTCACGAAGACTGATTTATATGCCGCCAGCGTTTGAAGCAACCATTCAAGGACCCCAACTACGTTCCTCGCCCAAAGACGATTTCCAAGGATGATCTCCGGTTCGTCCAAGAAGTTATCGCGAATACCACCACTCCTGCGTGGGTTCATCATGTCCCCAAAAACTTTGGAGAGAAGGGAGCTGGCTCCATCAAGGCGGACGAGTGGCGTCTTTATGCCACGATATATTTTCCGATCGCTCTCGTCATCCTTTGGGGGGAGCAAGTAGGGAGCAACGCAGCTCATTTCGCCGAGCTCCTCCAACACAGTATGGCACTGTTTCAAGCCGCAACAATCATTTCCCGTTACACAACCTCGAAGGCACGCGCCACGGCGTGCCGGGACTTCATCAAGCATTGGCTTGGAAACCTGCAAACCCTATTTCCTCATACGAAGACTCCCAGAACCAGGACAAACCCTCACCTTGCGATGCACCTCTACGATTTCCTTCTCCTTTGGGGACCAGCATTGTCCTGGTGGGCCTTCCCCACTGAGCGCCTTATCAGTGTACTAGGCAAGATAAACACCAACAACCATCTTGGTGGTAGGTTTCTCTCCTTACGCTTGCAAAAGATTCTCATCAAAATTCTTTTCCAGGTGAACACGAAGCAACGCTTCTCAATACTTGGATCCGCAGCGCAAATCTTCGTCGGTGGATCAATCCCCCCGATTGCCCAGCCGCCCTCCTCAAATTCCATCGCCTCTTTACTCTCCACTTCGGCCTCAACCTTGGAGATAGGTCGTCGGGGAATTCGAGTGTGAAGGCGGCCGGTGTGAAGGCGGCCGATATCCGCCCCGCGCATTATGAGCACGACGGGGTGAACTATTCCAGAGCCTCTACACATCTTGGGAACAGTCTCGTCATGTATGTCGAGCCAGCTTCTGGAAAGACTCGTGCAGGGAGCATTGAGGAGATCGTGATTGGCAAGAAAAAAGTGGAATTCAACGTTCGACGCCAAGCCCCTCTTCCTCCGGGCAAGAACGATCCCTTCAAGATCTTTCCCCATTTTCCTGCGGAAACGTACTCATCGGAAATGTTGGCCGACGTTGACACCATCAATCCTCGATCCATCATCGGCCACTGTGCGCGCTTCAATTTCTCAGATGAGCGAGCAGTGATTGTAAATCTGTCAAGGGTATTCTCGTCGCTTTACTTGCCAGACTAGCATTGACACTTTTTTGCCAGGGGTAATTCGGAGTCAGCGGCAGGAATTTTTTTCTTCTTCTTCTATGTATACAACATTTTTTCACAATACTGTATTTTTAATACTAGAACACGATTGATTAAGCTGAATGACGGGATTTTAAGAACTTGATCGCGAGGTACTTAAGAATTTTTGTTTTAACGACTAGATTGTCACAGGGTCACTTGTGACACCAGTCTTGTTCTCGACCACCACCATGTCAACGAGTGTTAATCGCTCGTTGCCGCTGGAGCTCGCCCCGACCACGCATTCAGGGAGACAGAATCGAGCGTCGACGTTGTCGCTCTCGATGTCGTCCCAGTGGTACCTTTGACCTGCTGCTGACCCTCCCCGAGTGTGAGTCGCTCGGCGCGGGTCTCAATCGCTTCTCAAGCTTCAAGACCTATCCTGTTGCTCTCCCCAGCCTCTGGCTAGTCGCGCGCTCGTCGGCACCACCAATCTTTCCTTCAAACTTAAGACCCTCGTCCTTTGACTTGGACCCTCCCCGAGTGTAGATCGCTTGGCGCGGGTCTGAATCACTTCACAAGCTCCAAAATCTATCCCTTTGCTCTTTCAAACATCTGGCTAGTCGTGCGCTCGTCGGCACCACCAATCTTTCTCTCAAACTTGTGACCCTCGTCATTTGACCTCTGACCCTCCCCGAGTGTTTGTCGCTCGGCGCGGCTTCTCGAGGTCCAAACCCTACTCCGTTGCTCCCCCCAACATCTGGCTTATCCTGTGCTCGTCAGCGCCACTCGAACTTGTGACCTTCGGCATTTGACCTTTGACCCTCCCCGAGTGTGAATCGCTCGGCGCAGGTCTCAACCGCTTTCTGATCCTCAAAACCTCTCATGTTGCTCTCCGCGTGCGTCCTGAAGGGCTAGAGATTGGAGGTCGGTTTTTTCTATGATCCGAGTTTGACGCATTTTGACCCTCCTCTCTTCCAGTTCTACTCTGAGCGGCACAAAGCTCTCGGGGCCGGTGTCTAACATATGGCTTGAGCTTTTGGTAAGTCGCCTCCAGCTCCCGCCCAGTACAAACACAGCTGATGCTTGATTTTCAGGTCGCCACAATTTTCGATATTCTTTCCAAGTCCGCGGTGCTAGGCCGTTAATCGACGCTCGAAAATGATCAGTACGCTCTCCACGCCCGTGCTGGGCTGCGAGAGATTGCCTCCGGGTCAGTCTTTTTATGACCCGATGGTTGCGCATTCCGACCCATCCTCCCTTCCAGTGATGTCATCTCTACTCTGAGCGGCCCAAGGCTCTCGGGGCTAGTGTCTAACATATGGCTTGAGCTTTTGGTGAGTCACTTCATCCTACCGCCCGCTACAAACCCAGCTGATGCTTTCGTTTTCAGCTTGCCATAATTTTCGATATTATTCTCAAAGTCAGCGGCGGCGCCAGGCCGTTAATCGACGCTCGAAGATGATCAATACGCTCTCCGCGCCCGTGCTGGGCTGCGAGCGATTGCCCCGGGGTCAGTCTTTTTATGACCCGATTGTTGCGCATTCTGACCCATCCTCCCTTCCAGTGATGTCATCTCTACTCTGAGCGGCTCAAGGCTCTCGGGGCTAGTGTCTAATATATATATTGAGCTTTTTGTAAGTCGCCTTCGGTTGCCGCCCGCTGCAAACCAAGCTGATGCTTTTATTTCCAGCTTCGTGGGGCTCATCATAAATTTCGTCACTTTTCCCAAAGCCCGTGGCGCTAGGCTGTCAATCGAATGCCGTTGGTGTAGATCCCTCGTCCTACACAGTTTCTTGCCGAGATTTTTTAAAAAAAAAAAACCACCAGACAGAAAACATAATGACCTGGTCCGGAATCGAACCGGAGACTGCCTCAGCAAATCATACAGGGGCTAATTCTCGAGGAGTGTGACCACTACACCACCAGGTCCTCGGGTAGTCTGCGGAAGGAGTGGGTTCGATTCCCACCAGGGTCAATTTTTTTCCCAGTGCACATTGGAACTCGTTTGCATCCTCGATTAATAATGTACCACATTTTTTTTTTGCAATGCTACTATTTTGATACTATGGCCATTGCCCGAGAACGAGTTATGGACTTGAACGATAATATATAGAGATGATGTATTTTTTACCTATATTGATTTGATTGTCACGATGTCACTTGTGACATCCAGCTTCTTCTCGACCACCACCACGTCAACGAGTGTTAATCGCTCGTTGCCGCTGGAGCTCGCCCCGACCACGCATTCAGGGAGACAGCATCGAGCGTCGACGTCGTCGCTCTCGATGTCGTCCCAGTGGTACCCTTGACCTGCGTGCTGACCCTCCCCAAGTGTGAGTCGCTCGGCGCGGGTCTCAATCGCTTCTCAAGCTTCAAGACATATACTGTTGCTCTCCCCAGCCTCTGGCTAGTCGCGTGCTCGTCGGTACCACCATCTTTCCTTCAAACTTATGACCCTCGTCCTTTGACTTGGACCCTCCCCGAGTGTAGATCGCTTGGCGCGGGTCTGAATCACTTCACAAGCTCCAAAATCTATCCCTTTGCTCTTTCAAACATCTGGCTAGTCGTGCGCTCGTCGGCACCACCAATCTTTCTCTCAAACTTGTGACCCTCGTCATTTGACCTCTGACCCTCCCCGAGTGTGAATCGCTCGGCGTAGGTCTCAATGGCTTCTCGAGGTCCAAAACCTACTCCGTTGCTCCCCCCAACTTGGCTAGTCCCGCGCTCGTCGGCGCCACTCGAACTTGTGACCCTCAGCATTTGACCTTTGACCCTCCCTAAGACTCCCCGAGTGTAGATCGCTCGGCGAGACTTTGAGTGGTCACAGAGGCTCCACCTGGACTGACTCTGGATATTACTACTGCGCGCCCCGGCTGCACCATATTTCTATTCGAAATCCGAGTAGAAATCATGACCCGTCTTCGACCCTCCGCGAGTGCAACTCGCTTCTGCGAGTCTTCCAGACGCTTTTGCAGCGTGAAATCATGCCATATGCGACTGCCTTGTCTCAGCGTTCCTCTGCCCATCGAGAGGCGCCAAGGTCAGTTTTTTTTGGTGAGCCGATATTCGCATTTTTGACCATCTTCCACTGCAGCCGCATCACCTTCAATGCCAGCCGCTCCAAACTCCCGTGGGTGGTGTATCAGTAGCACTTCGACCTTTTGGTAAGTCCCCACGAGCTCCCGCCTGCTACACGCCGAGCTAATCCTTGAATATTCAGCTTCGCCGCCGGCTGATCATCAACATCAAAATTTTATTCGAATTCCAAGCCGCGCCTCAAATTAGTAGTACGTTGAACTTTTTGGTAAGTCCCCGTAAGCTTTCGCCTGCTAGACGCCGAGCTGATACTTGATTTCCAGATTTCATCCATAATTTTTAAGAATATTTTAATAAAATTATGAACTTGAGGACCAGTCGCGCCCGCCTCCCGCTCCCCGTGCCCGTCTCCCGTCTCCCGCAAACCTGCGAGCGGCTTGGCCGTGCCGCGCACCTTGGTGCCGCCGTGCGCTCCGCGCTTTTTCGGGCGCCGCCCCCCCACCCAAAACACCCGCGATCGAGGCGCGCGCTCGAGCGCCCAGCGCCACACGTGCCCGTGGTGCCCGCCGCCGCCCGCCCTTGACGCTCATCGTGTCGGGCGGCGCGCCCCCCAAAAAACAAGCACCCCGCGAGCGTCGCTCGTTCGCGAGCGGCTTGTCCGTGACGGCCATGTGCACGACGCGCCGGCGCTGCGGCGCACAACGCTGCGCGCCTCAGCCCACGCCCCCGCTCCAACACCCAGGCCCTCCCCGCCGCGCGCCGCCTCCCCGCCACCTCCCGCCCTCGCCGCTCGCCGTTTCGGCCGGCGCGCACCCCAGAACAGGCGCAGGCGGGGCGCGCGCCTCCGTTCCAACCCCCAGGCCCTCCCCGATGCCCTCCCCGGCATCGAGCTTGCCGCGCGCTGCCTCTGTTATATGTCGAGTCAGGCCAAGGCCAAGGAAGTCCGACCTCGGAGTTTGCGGTTTCTCGCAACACTACAAAGAATAGAGTGAGCGACTATTCAGGTCCGCAGTTCCACACAAGACTATAGTCCGGAGTCACGGAGTTCGGAGTTCGGAGTTGAAGTCCGAATAGAGGATGAAGACAGAGGCTCGACCAACACCGAGATAGCGAAGAAACAATCAATAATCAAACTGAAGTACAAAACATATCTTACTAGCTTTTTAAACTAAGTACGCTATTGTCTATTGAATACAATAGCGTGCGAGATATTGGTAAGTAAGAAATGTTAAACAGTAAGGTAGCAAGGTGACTTAGTAAGGTTAAACAATAAAGGACTTCGGGCTTGGTAAGGACGCCCGAGAAAGAAGTTGGACTAGACAATAAGGCCTCGGAGAAATACAAGTCCGTCGGCCCGATGAGTAATCAGTGATTAGAAGGGAAACACTCAGTAGACCTTCATAGCGTGAAAACCCTCTCGGGAATTGCCGGACCGGCACGGATATAACAGCCTCCCCGCCCCGTCCCGCCCTCGCCGCTCGCCGTTTTGGCCGGCGCGCACCTGAAAACAGTCGCGGGCGCGGCGCGCGACTCCGTTCCGGCACCCAGGCCCTCCCCGATGCCCTCCCCGATGCCCTCCCCGGCATCGGGCTCGCTGCGTGCCGCCTCCCCGCCCCCTCCCGCCCTCGCCGCTCGCCGTTTCGGCCGGCGCGCACCCGAAAACAGTCGTGGGCGCGGCGCGCGACTCCGTTCCGGCTCCCAGGCCCTCCCCGACGCCCTTCCTGGCATCGGGGTCGCCGCGCGCCGCCTCCCTGCCCGCCGTTTCGGCCGGCGCGCACCCGAAAACAGTCGCGGGCGCGGCACGCAACTCCGTTCCGGCTCCCAGGCCCTCCCCGATGCCCTTCCCGGCATCGGGGTCGCCGCGCGCCGCCTCCCCGCCCCCTCCCGCCCTCGCCGCTCGCCGTTTCGGCCGGCGCGCACCCGAAAACAGTCGTGGGCGCGGCACGCGACTCCGTTCCGGCTCCCAGGCCCTCCCCGATGCCCTTCCCGGCATCGGGGTCGCTGTGCGCTGTCTCCCCGCCCCAGAACAGGCGCGGCGCCCGACTCCATTCCGGCTTCCGGCCCCTCCGCCCTCGCCCTCCAATTCGACCTCGGACCCAGCTCCCTCGTCAAGGAAGGAGGCGACTCGAATAACGGAGGAGACAACGGATAAACTACGTAGGACAGCCCTATGTAAGTATTAACTCCAATGAATATATTATCCGTTCGCGCCGCGGACGGGTTGTTTCAATTCCCAATTATTATTATTTTCATTCTTGAACGCTCACCTAGGCTCCTCCTGTACCTATCCACGCGCTAGCTATATGAATACACTTGAATACATTTTTTCCTCGTATCGAGGTCATGTGGAGGGTTAAGGACCCGACCGGCGGGTGCACCTGGAGGTACACCTCAGGGTACACCCTGGGGTTATGCTGAAAGCATTTCTTTCAGCGCCACTTTTCTAAATTTCAGAAAGTCTTTCTTTCAGTGCTGCTGAAAGCGCCGCCGAAAGTCTTTCTTTCGGCACGGCTTTCAGCCGCGTAAGAAACAACTTCTTTCTTCTTTGTTGAAAGTGGCTGCTGAGAGTTGATCTTTCAGCAGTCCTTTCGTACCTTACTGAAAGTGGATAAATTGGCGGCCTCTGAAACGGCCGCCAATTGTTCATTTTTCCGCGACACTTTCGCACCAAAATGTTATATACCGAGCCGGGGTGGACCCAAAGAGTAATGACCGAGTGACCGGAGGCTCCGGTATGTCGGAGCGTCGGAGAGCCGGAGGGTCCGGAACGTATACGGAGGAGGATCACAACACCACAGGGGGTCAAGGGTGAGTGACTACCCTAACCGGCAGGTACCCGATAGAGGAAGACAAGTCGGAGTACCGGAGGGATCCGGAGAGAACGGAGATGACTCAGTGCAAGGGAAGTGAGCCAAGCAACGTCAATTATCAATCTGACGTACAGGACATATTAAAGACGTATTTATACTAAGTATCTAATTGTATTCCATAAAAGGAAGGAGAGTGGTTCTTAACAATAAGTCAAGTCAGATGGACCGATGAGAAGTCGTATGACAATAAGTGAAAAGGAAGGAAGACGGATAAACGGGAAACGCTCAGTAATCCTTCAGTGCGTAAAAACCCGATGGTACCGGATGGTTCGGAGGCTCCGGTAGTATACCGGAGCCTCGGAACCTACCGGAGCTACCGGAAGGTCGACGAGAGGACTGGGGATGTTGCATGGATATAACACAAAAAGAAAGTACAATTTTCTATTAATTTGAATTTGGTTACTGATTTACAAACTTTCGATTTACATCTTGACCTAGGTCAAGATAATTCTTTATCCGGTGTGCATCGTGGCGCACACCTTGCCCTTTCCGGATTTCTTCCCGCTACCGGTGCCACTGCGGTTACTGTCCGACGACCCCTCGCGTCCACTGTTGCTGTTTCCGTTGCTCGACATCGTTATTGGGTGTTTTAGTGCTAGAGATGGTGGTGGTAGGAAAGAAAGAAATGTCTGAGTCAAACCAACAGCACGTGACTTTTTGATCTTGTTTATTTTCCCACGCTTCCTCATTGTTCAACAAACTTCATTCCTTTTGGGGGAGAGGAACCTAAGAGGGGGATACTGTTATATCCATGCAACATCCCCAGCCCTCATGTTGACCTTCTGGTACTTCCGGTAGGCTCCGAGGCTCCGGTAATATACCAGAGCCTCCGGACCATCCGGTATCATCGGGTTTTTATGCAATGAAGGATTACTGAGTGTTTCTCCTTGCACTGAGTCGTCTCCGTCCTCTTCGCTCACCTCCGGTACTCCAACTTCCGGAATACCTGCCGGTCAGGATAGTCACTCACCCTTGACCCCCTGTGGTGTTGTGATCCCTCCTTATACCACTCCGGACCATTCC